GAGAAAGTGCCAGCTGCATAATTTTGCAACGCGCGCCGCGCCGTGCAACGCGATAGACGTATAAGAGCCGACAGATGTCCCATCTCGTGCTCGGTCACGTCATCCGGTTGTCATTCGTTTGCAAAATGGCCCGCTGTTTTCATTTTCTGTTCCGTCGACGTTCCTTAATCCTGACATAGAAAAGCATCTTACGTTCCGTCTAAATGCTCGCACCCTTGTACATTTTACTATATACTAACGATTCCGTATTTTATCAGTGATCGTAGTTTATCACGATTATCAATTTGAGAATAATTCATAACGTTAAAAATAGTTGAATATTAGTTATATATTCTTTTATAGTCGTACTAGTGTGTGCATATGTAATTATATTTTTTACACACACACACATATACCTACATATTCTTTGATTTACACGCAATATTCGTTTCACATGATATTTTTTTATGTGGTTGAAAATCGCGTAAATTGAATTTGCCGGTATTAAAAAAAAATACGTAAGAGAAGCCCGTGTATATTGTAAAATAACATTTATTTCATATATTTACACAATAATAATAATAAAAGTTTAGAAAAGCAAAGAGTGATTCCCAAAACACACGTTTTTTTAGCCTGTTTTATTAGCTCGAAATTGGAGTCAAAATATGTGTCAAACAATGCTAAGTAATGGGACATTGATCTTAGAAACAATGTTTGAGATAAAGTTGAGCACAGAGATAATTTTATAGATACGGGAAGTCAAAGTAGCCAAATTCCCATATTGTCCAAGCACGATAGAAAAAGGGGATTAGAACTTTTTTAATAATAGCGATATTTTGCCTAGAATTAATCAAAATGGTTCTCTGATTACTAAAGACTCGACCCCTCCACTTCTGTTGCTTAATTTTTTAAAGGGGTAAAAATACTCTCGAAAAAGTTTTGTCGGAGTTTTCAAAAACGAATGCAGACGAAAAAATATTTGAGTAAGAGTTGTTTGTCTTGAAATTCTGCCCCAAAAAATCTGTTTTTCTTCATAAAATTTTGCTCGAAAACGGCATCTGAAGAAAGATAGTTTCTGAACATAACGCAAAATGGATCAGAAGCCAGCCTTTAATTTTTATTCTTCGTCGTTGTCGGTACTCCGAATTAATCAACTTTTTCTTTGCAATTGATTCGAAGTTACTTTCCTCATCGCTATAAACATTTGGAATTTCTACTTCGGTTTCGTTATCAGTGTGCCTCTTTCAAAGATACATTTTCGTAAAATGGAATTGCGTAAAATTGAGATGTACCGCGTACACGGAGGATTATTTAGCACGTAAAAAAACTCCGCGTATAAAAAGCATCTCGTAAATTATTGGACGAGTGTAATTATATTTTTCAAAGGGAATATTATTTATTACGTGAGTGCACAAAATTTACGAATTATTGTCTATAAGTCTGTACATGACGATACAATGTGACATTAAATACGCGTATTCCCGTGGTACAAGGTCTCAGACATTCCCCGAGACTATTACAGGTCGATAGTACGTACCTATAATCATTACTTACCACTTGACTTTCATGGACACGTAGCAAGGTACATGCAGCAACGAAGGGTGAAAATGGAAGTAGCAGGAAATTAGATGGAAGGGTATGTAGATATTATTGCAAATTCATGTGTAAGCCCGCTTCTTCTGATATAGTCTTTATACTAAATATGTTACCTCACCTAATTCTGAACTATTAATTTAGGATACGTAAGTTTTATATTTTATCGTGAGAGAAAAGGACCACAACTTGTATGGTCGAAACGTAGCAATCTGTCATTTCTAATAATAATTAAAACGGTGAACTTATTGTCAGCCCAACTGGCAAATTTTATTACGTTTTGACTTTACTTCAGGTCCTTTTCAAGTAACAATACTGCAAATGCAACAACATGTAAAAGATTAAAATTATTAATTAGTCATCTAGTAAAGAGAAAATAAATTGTAATAATAAATTGATGCCAGTTGTGTCGAAAATTGCCCGCTGATTATTGCAAATGCTTACAATGTATAAATTATAGCTAAACTTTTGGAACTCTTCTCGCAATTCAGATAATAATTGCTTATTTCGCAAACGGCTCTTTAAATAATGTATATAAATATCATGGCGCCAACGTTCTACGTATACATATCATGAATCATCGTGCATTTGTGTAATGACGCCAGGGTGAGGCGCATTTAATTCGACGATTTACATATGATGATTAGATGATTAATAGCTCGTGAAAATGATAATTACGCTCATGAATCAACAATCTAATGCAAATTAATAGTACGATATAAAACGAGAATGACAGATATTATATATGTATTTAATATTATTATAATTAAGTTTGTCGCAGTTCAGTTAATTTCATGATTGATAATATTGCCAAACACATATTTTGTCAATATCCAAACTATTTCGCCATATTTCTTATTGATCAGTTTAGCTTTTCATGTACCTAGGTGCAACAAAAGTAACAGTACCGACAAACGAATTAATTTTAATCTAACTTTTGACGTTTCGTATCGTCGAGATAATCCACAATCGTTATCGGCATTATTTTTTAGTTATCAAGCTGTTACAAAAATACACACGTTCATATACTCTGTCCATTCTGCAAACATGTAGTTTGTAGACAGTTGCCAAGGGCGCAAGATCTTGTCGCTACCCTGCTGTGAAAACCGGCAGCAACATAACGCGCGGCTGAAATAGGTCCCTGGTTGCCATAAAATGAGAAAGAATCGACCCCCGGACACGAAGAGTTTTTCACCCAGGGTGCAGTAAGCTATCCGTTGGTAAGGAGGTAAGGGCGCGCCCTTGGGAGTACTTTCGAAGTGTCTGTTTCTGGAGGGAGCGCGGACCTGGTGGGTGGAAGCGAAGGTTGCCAGTGAGAACCCCGAGAAACGCTTTTTACGTCTTGGTAATTGAACTCCGCTACATGTGTGCCGAGAGCAGGTCGGGCTGGTTACACGCCAGCGATTCGGGGCGAATAGAGTTTTCCAAAAAATTGTAGAGCCATAGAAACGTCATTTGAAAGGTAGCAATTGCGAGTGGAGGAGAGCAAGGGCTCGGAAATAGGAAATAAAGTCCGAGTCGATATGCGAACAGGGTGAAAGTAGGTCAGTTGCTTAGCCTGCGATATATAGCGGTACTAAACCCATAAGGACGTCCCGAAGGACCACGCTTAGGGTATCTTGACATAGGGTCCCGCACGGCGGGCACGTCAACAGTGGTACAGTAGTACAGGTCGGCGCATGGGTGCACCGAAAAGAAGGTGGCTGAAGGCACGGAACGTATGTTCGGAGACGTGCGCAGAATGCGTTGCGTCCGCCGTGAAACGTTTTGTCGCGCAATTCTGTCGCGAGCTCGTCGCTACAGAACGAAACGTCGTACGTCCACACGTTCACAGATTTACCTATGCACACTAATTACGCCATTTACGCAATAAGTTGTATATTTCTTTCTCCTTAAAGACTATTCGATCAATTTGAAATTGCGTTTTTTTTTAACCAAAAGAATAAACTAGATTTCTGTTGTCCGAACGCTTGAATCTTTATCGTTAAACAACCCAGTGACCAAGCTGAAAATTAAGATTCTGTTACACCCCGATAATACGATCGATCTATTTCTACTTGGGTCGCTGAATTCTCAATGTCCAGTATAATTAACAACCGCCGTGAGATCCGCGCCGAAGAGACGTCGACGAGTTCGTCGGCGAGTTTATAATTACAGGAGAGAAAACGCATATCTTCCGATACACCCAGTATAATATGTACCACAGCTAACCCGGCATATACGTGTACGTGTACGCGCGCACCACATGTACCTATGTATATAAGCGTACCTGGCTATCTACTCACCATGGGCAACGCCACTTCGCGTGATCCCGTGGGACCGTGCCACTCGCCCGCGCGCCCCGCAACCCTCTGTACACCGTACACCACCCTACACACCGCCGTCGGATAAACCGCTTATTTTATTCATAAACCCACAACGTGGAATCAATATTGCACCGTCGCCCCAGCACGCTCGAGGAGAGAGAGACGTCGTCAACGACGGCAACACGTTCGCTGCCTCGACGGGGATCAGGGAATGCGGACGGCGGACGTTTAACTCAACCCTCTCTCGTCCTCCGTTACTCTCCCGCTCGCGCCCCCTTGCTCGCGAACCCTTCGTCCCTTCTCGATCTGCCATCCGTGTTGGCTCCCCTCTCTCTGTCTGTCTGTCTCTGTCTCCCTGTCTCTCTTGGTCCGCGCGTCTCTGTCGGACCTAATGCGGTGGAATGTAGGGTGAAATTAGTCCTTAGCCCCCGTCTGATCCCGTGGAACGCGATGTCCATTCTATGACAGGACATATCCAAGTCTGGAGAAGCAGAGGGGAACGGCATTTCGCGCTGCTGAAGCGCAGGCATTGTCCAGACGATATAAATGTCATCGGCTACTGCCAGACAATCGTGACGTTCCGAACGGGATATAAAGTAACGCATCCGATGCTTTTTCCGACCTGCCGGACTGTCCGATCGACGACACGCGAGGACGTTGCGCGTAGACTTGCAAGGGACGTGATAAATTCATTAACGTGGCGAAATTTGGATGGCACTTGATGAAGATTCCCACCGAGTTGTACCGAGACAGTTTATCGACTTCTTTCCTTTTACGTATGCATAAGATACCGCGTTCAAGTTACAGCTATCAGCTCGAAAATGTACGGTATATTAGAAATTCTTATCTCGCAAACTGTTGGTGCATATAAAAGTCCGGTGTTTCGCGTCCACGAGCCACTCGTACATCGGCATCGTCCGACATGGGCGGTACGGAGAGCGCGGTGGAACGGGCGATGGCGCACGTGCTCGAATATCCGACTGTCCGAAGTTAATGTAACACCATCGCGGAAAGAGAGAGCTAATGAGACCCGCGCCGAGCGGTCTGGTGAAGCTCAAACGCCGCGCCGGACCGAAAACTGAAATTGTCCTGCACTTGAACTGACGCTTTCTGTGCTTTCAGGTAATACAGGGTAACACGAACACGTATTTGGAGTCCAAGCACGAGCTGGAGCCGCCTCTGTGGGCGAGCAAGATCCGTTTTCTACCCTACAGCTATCACAGACGGACGGTTTGCATGCGGGTCGAGCTCTACGGGTGTTACTGGAGCGGTAAGCTGTTTGCACTCGCCAATTTTCGTGAAACTTGCCGCGGACCGGTACACCCGCCGGACTGTCCATTAACCCTGATACCAGCGTGCCCAGAGCAAATTTGCTTTTCAAAATCTTGCTCGTATAATTCCGTTTTCGCCCGGAAATCGAATTAGCTACGGGCGTCGAATGGGTGCTCTCAATGTCGGAAATGCGGTGAATCATTAGTACGCGTGTTAAACTATAAAGTCACTCGACAGACGCACAAACGCGCTCGTACGAGCAGTTTGTTTCGTAAGTAGCTTAAGCGATCAAATATGAATTTAAAATGGCAGAAAACTATTAACCTCCCACTTTCTGCGAAATTTTAATGCTTAACGCAACGCGTTACGCGTGAGTTATTTTACAACTTCTTAAAATGAATTATAGACGTCGCACGTTAAATGGAAAATGTTGCCCTTCTATAAACACGTATAAAATTTCATTTCATGTTCCATCAAATAGATATATTTTCATTTTAATAATAGATATTTTTAATAACGTTATCAATATAATATAAATAACGATAATAAATATTTTATTTTTAATAATAGACACATTTTTATTATATTTTTGAACATATCCGCGTGATTTTTTAAAAATGAATAAACTCCAAGTATCGCTAATTTAATATCCACGAATTTTAGTTTATATTTCATGCCGCTAGGTGTTAAGAATTTAATTGAAAAGGTCGTATAAAGTTGAGATTTATTTGCATTAATGTACACTCTACATATACCTGGCATAAAGAAATGAGAAAGGTCGCGTGATTTGCTCCCAAAGAAATCGAAGACAGTATCGTCAGTCAGGAGGGTCAACAACGTATCTTGACTTTTCCTCCCGCAGACGGCGTGGTGTCCTACTCGATGCCCCAGGGCGATAAGAGGGGCAACGGATGGGAATTCTTCGACGCGACCTACGACGGGCACTGGGACGGCGAGCTGCGCCGTGGCCTGGGTCAACTGACGGACGGTAGAACGGGGCCTGATAATTTCAAAATGTACTACGATAACGATCGCGCCCAGGGATGGGTGGGCTGGAGGAACGATAGCCGCGGCCAACCGGTCGAGATCAAGTTCGAGTTCGACAAAGTCAGGGAATTCTCCGCCGTCCATATCTACTGCAATAACGAATTCACTCGAGGCGTCCAGGTTCGTACACTATGAGCGATACATTTTAGTTTTTAAAACAAAACAAAAATTACGAATCAACTAATAAGACTATATACTTCAATGTCGCCAGCAGGAATCAACAACTTGAGTGTTTCCTTGACCATATCTGGCATTTTTAATAATACAGAAAATTTATTGCGAAAAATATTACCTCAGCCAGCGTTTGAACCTGGACTTCCCTACTCTCTAGGCGAGCGTCTTAGTGGTTGAATTGTGAGAGTAGGGAAGTCCGGGTTCAAACTCTAGCTGAGGTAATATTTTTCGCAATAAATTCTCTGTATTATTAAAAAGGCCAGATATGGTAAAGAAAATACTAAAGTTGTTAAAGATAATGAATATCTTTATTTCTAAGGATATAATTGTAATAAAATTTAAGGAAATATAAGGAAATATGAAATCGGTAAGGGAAGGAGACTTCTCCTCCCAAACAATTTCTCCTTTAATTCAAACGTTTCGACTCGTATTCGGGTCTTCAGTGAGCAAAGATAACAAGGAAAAATAATATAAATAAATTTAAAACAATTATAATATAAAGTCATGAATTGTATGAAACAACTGTATGAAAATTATATAAAAAAATCAAAATACCTAATGAAGAGAATAGCGTAGAGATCGCGAAACAAAAGTTGTCATGAAATTAATATGTATGTTAAGCTGAAAGTAGCCCCTTTCTCATGATTAAAGCCACACGGAGGGAATTTTCTCTTAAAGTTTACCCTGAAAATCGTATAATCGTGGAACAACGTGGCATTTTGAAGAACTTTATAAGAGTTTTTTTTAAGTGTATCATACATCACACTAGTAAAATGTATGCTAATTATAATTGCTAGTGAAATGCATGATAAAATTTAAAAACTCATAAAATTATTTTAAATGCCGTGTTGTCCAACGATTACAATATTTTCAGGATAAATTTTAAAGGAAAATTCTCTCCGTGCAGCGGGACACTATTTTTCCTACCGTATTGCTTACGAGAACCAATAAGGATGCAGAGTTTTAGATGAGGTGACTTAAGGCTAAATCCCGATTGGCTCTGCCGTTGGCTTAACTCTCGTGAGTCTCCATAAAAAAAAATAGGTATCTGCGTATCATGTATAGGTGTTGCGATCGCAAGGCCAATCTTGAGTGAGTTACGCAACTCGTTACGTTCGTACCGAGTCGCTTGAACGCAAAGCAAATGTACAACCGCTCAACAATAACACATTGTTACCGTAATATAATAGAAGCAGAAATATACGACGTAAATCCCCTTTCTACTGAAAGATTAACGCGCGGTAGGCCCGCATTAAAAGCCGAGGTACATCAGGCAGAAAAGCGTCGAGTGGATCTCTCTCCCGGGCGAGATACACTTCGCTTTAAACACACGTCTAATCTCTCGGGCCGCTCGTCGCGATTCCGCGCGGGTAATACCCCGGAAGAAGCTGAAGAATCCACGCGATCAGAACGGAGCACGCGCCGCTTCTATATCGAGTTACTTTCTTCCAGCCAAGGACTCCCCTCGTGAACTCGTTGACGCCGAGGAATCGTTTACCTTCGCTTTAGCGACGTTATTCCTTAGTCCTCGCCAGGAATGCGCAAGCAGCGTCGATCAACACAGCTCGCCATCCACGGTTCTTCGTGATCCTCTCCACCTTTTACCGTCATCTCGTCTACCTTAGTCGTCGCGCGGCATCTGGTCGGCAAGATGCACTCCCTGCCCCCGCATCCGCGCTCACCCCCTTCGCCGCCACGCTTGATTGAATATTCCACTCGACGCTTTATCAGGCAGACGCCCGTTGAATATCAATACACCGTGGCGCAGCAATTCCGGCAGTTTGATATCTGCCACCACGGTCTCGGCGCGATGATCGCACCGAGTCGGCTATTAGCCGCGTTATTTCACGAGGAATCTTGCGAATCTCAATGGGGAATCCGTGCACACGTTGCAGCGACATACGTTGCTCCAGCCTGGAATTCAAACACCGAAAACGCTGATATTCCCGGAATGATTTTGATATGATAAGTTCAACGTAACACATAAATCGCGCTGCCCTAAACGCGCGGGACCATAATAAGTTATCTCGCTGATTGCGAATACCAACGTTACCGTCGTGATTCGCGATAGATGCGGAATTTCTCCGCGGGGCGAATCTTACGCCCGTCGTACCCGGGGCTCGTAACCCCTGTTTCGTAATTTCAACTTTTACCCGCGGAACTTAACGGGAAGACGGAAAATTCGAGCAGAGATACTTGACGGAAGAAAAACAATTCCCGGATGCGCCTTGAGAGGCAGGTAGGAAACTTTTCGCATCATTCGCCATATCCGTGATTCAGCGCGTTGCAGCCGCGGAAATGAGTTCGCGGCGGGCGGCTTATAAAGAGAAATTCCTCGCTAGCGCCGAGTTATAATTCGACCCTCGCTGTGTAATTTTCGTTTGTGTGTGTGCCATGGCCGCAAATCGCGACCCCGCCGCGTCGTCCCACGATCTGACGACTCGATAGGATTGTGGCGTTCGCAGCCCGCGGCGACTTACGTGCGGACACGCGTGTTTTATTACACCGAAGCGTCGCAATGCGCTTTTCCTCGTTACAATTTGATGCCTCGATTGTATTGGGAGATAGCGCGCAACAATGCGAGAGTGGAAACGATACCCATCATTACGGGCGAGGAGATGCAAGTCGAAGCGAGAACGGGACAAAAGGGAGAGGCGGGATTCGCCGATGCCTGTAATGCACTATCGTTCGTTATCGGCAATCATGTGTTGCAACGATCATCCAATGATGTCATACCGAAAATATGAAAACTCCGAGATCTCCGCGGCGACGCAATCCATACCGCACGTATTGCATGTTTCATTGTATCCGAGATAAATCCGCTTTAAACACGCGCGCGTATTCTGTCATATGCTACAGTTCGTTTAGAGGCTCGACGGCGCGTGCGGTGAAATATGCATGGGAGATTATTGAACGTTGTCAGAAACGGAAGCGCCGAATTTTGATCCGAGTAAAATTGCCCCCGAATAATTCTTCCGCGCTGAAATCGCGGGGGAGAAAAGAGATTACGCCGTAATGCTGCGTATTATGCAAAAAATTCGGCTATTATTAATTTATGCGGCGGGGAAATATTTAATATTAGTTCGTTTCATAAAAATTCCCTCATTATTATTTTTCGTAAATCGTGAATTTATATTACAATTTTTTTTCGGCTAAGAGCCTCCTTCCCTTCGATGTATGGGTCTCTGCCGATTAATGTGAATAGCCGCTGCGCCTGCGTCTTATACGCAAATAATTTCCTAATCGGCGTTTCGAAAAATTGGGCGCAAAAAAAACAGAACAGCCGACACTGCGTAGCGGAAAAAACCGCGAGCGCAAGTGAATATTACACGGAGAGAAACGCAGCGTCGCTTCCGTGTATGGAAAATTGTAAATGAAAGCGCTCTTTGATCCAGCAATCTAAACGATAACGAACTTCGATCTGCAGTGTTTCGAGTACGTCGTTAAGCGCAGGTCCTTCAAACAGGGACGTGCTCCCGTTAGTTTTGCGCTACTGACACCGCCGGGTGCCCGTGTGTGTTATTTTTTTCCCCAGAAGAGCCGTACACATCCGGCCGTAGCGGCCGTTGACGAAACAATTGCCGCGAAAAATCGAAAAAAATTTTTGGCGCCCGTGAAAAATCCTACGCGGGGGGCACGTAGCCATGCGTGCGCACGCATTCGCAAACTGGTTCGCGAACGGTGAATATCTTGCACAAAGCGCAAATACAGCCGCGCGGCGAGCAATCCGGTATAAACGCCCCGGTATAGCTCTTTGATGCTGGGTTCAGTGATCACCCTCCCAAACACGCCCCCGTAGTATTCGTATTACGATTCAACTTCACCCCAGATTCCCACCGAATGTATATAAACTTTAATAGCCTGTTAAACGTAAATTAGAATGTAGCCACGCGTTGAAATTCGCTCGCGAATACCGCGAGCGGTATCCCTTATCGCGCGCGCGCGCGCGCGGCGCGCGCACGCCCGGTGACGTAAAAACGTGCACGTACGAGATGGACCATAAATTGATTATATACTTTATATAATAATCCGAGCTACGTGGCGACGTATACGCGGTGTACTGTAACGACGAATCGGAATCGGGGCGTTTACGGTACGGCGTATCGCGAACGCGACGAATAAGTATTCGCATGATTCGTACACTGAGAGAATTTTCTCTTCAAAATTTCTTCCTGAAAATCACGTAATCATGGGACAACATGAGTGTTGGTCTACAACCTTGCTTTAAGTAAGCTGTGAGCCTTAAGCCGTAAGAAATTAACCAATCACAGGTGAGAGCGAGGGGAATAAATGCCTGTGATTGGTTAATTTTTTACGGCTTAAGGCTTACAGCTTACTTAAAGCAAGGTTGTAGGCCAACACTGACGTTTCCAAAAATTTTATTAGAGTTTTTGGAAACTTTGCCGTACATTTTACTGATAATTATACATTTTACTAGTAGAATGCATGCAAAATTCTTCGGGATGCCATGTTGTCCCCACGATTACAAGATTTTTAGGGTAAATTTTAAAAGAAAATTCTCCCCGTGTATTACTAAAAAAAATATTTTACGCGGATAGATTTCTAGGTGTCGCAACAAAAATATATCGCTATTTTGTATCTATTAGAAAATTGTTTGTAGCCTGCAAAATTTTTAACGGTAACATTCTAGTAATACTTTCGGGAAAGTTTAGGTTTCACAACTAAATATTGATCATTCACATTGGATAAAAATGAATGTCAGTACCATAGAGCTCGTACAATCTTTGTAAGGAATATAACTGTTTTATGTACGACAATCAAACGTTATAATGGATGGGTCACAGAAAGACTTTCTTCCTAACATGCGCTAACAGTTAGGATGGAAATTCTGTTTCTGTTATTTAAATCGATTAAATACAAAGCATATGCGAGCTCGTAGTATTGGCTATTCATTTGTGTATCTCAGTTATTTTTTAGTACCTAGA